GATATTATTCACTCTACAAGATAACTGCTATTGTTATTAAAATATACCGCTCCCAACATCCCATAGTGGACTACCTCAATATTTTCTGGGAAATCTCTATAGGTTTCAGGTTTTGTTAACTATATACTAGAGTTTGTTGGATGAATTGTCAATGCAGTAGATTGGTACTTGTGAAAGATAGAACTAAATCTAACCCCAAAGCCAACATTGTAAACCACTTTCCAACATTAACGAATCATACTAACATGTACACACCACCAACTACATGGAAAATCATATGGAAATTTTGAGCCAAATGGTTAAAGCTTTAACTAAATTATACCATAAATGTGGTGTTGCGAGGGTTTGAACTATGAAAGTGACCTGAATTGAGTGAGGCACAAGAGAGAGTTGTACCAATAGCTTAATTCTCAATGTCGATTACATTAAGAATTTCATTTCAAATGAGAAAATTAAATAGCTAAAATAGAGATCTAACTACCTCAAAGAAGGCCAAGCTCAATTTAAAGACCATGCGATCGAGGTAGAGTCACATCCTTATAAGTTGTTAGAATGCCCATTTAATTATTAAATTTACAATATCGCTACATGTACATCTTGATTTATATCATACCTTATCGAATTTACACTTGATACAATCTCACCATCTTTAACATCTCATGTATTTAATCCAATCATTATAACACTTCCATGTCATCAAATTGTCAATCAAGATGTAAATGAAGTTGAACAAATAACTTAATTCTTAAATTTAATTTGCCTAATATCTAATGGATAAAGTTGTTTGTACACCAAGTGTACGTACACTTGTCTCACATGAATATTGTCTGCGAATATTTTATTGTGTGTGGAACCCCCCTCCATGTGAGGGGGATGTAAAAGATTGTGTGAATAATTATATACATGTAGCATGACTGGATATCTAATAGTACATAGAGGAGACTCATTGGCCATCTCTACAATCATGGAGCTACACGAAGCCTCTAATTAAAAAATGCGTAAGATTTTTATCATTATTTTTAATGGGTGAAACCAAAAGGTAGTAGAAAATTAAACTAGAAGATAGAGATTGTAAACAATTACAATAAAACCACTATAAAATAATAAAGTTGGGACCGAAAAAAAGTTTTATATTAAAGAGATTATTAATTTATTGATAAATAAATAATTTATTAATATATCGAGTATTTTATATTTTTATAACCTGTATTATATTTTACCATAATACACGGTGGAAATTTAAGAAAAAAATACTGAATGTAGTGAAATTCAAAATTTAATCCGTAAGCACACAAAAAGACATATACATACATACATACATACATTAAATATGAGACATTAATGTACATGCATTAACTTCAAAGTTCAATGTATATTAACGTATGTGCATTGGCTTCAAAAAAGAAGTGAATTAAAAAATATTGTCAAAATAAAAGTTTGTTAACTTGTATTATGATGACCTTTTATGAATTTAAGCAGTTATAATTTATATATTTGTTGGGTCTTAAAGGATCTCAAAACAAATTATTATGTTATGCATTTAGGAATGTTATTAATTGTGGAAATTACATGGACCCCTACTTTTCAAGATCCAAGTTCAAAAATCAGATTTAAGTTTTAATGTTCAAAAATCAGATATTTTATAGATAGATACAGATTTTTATATTTAATTAAATATTAATAATAATATTATAAAAAATAATTTATATACATCCACCCTCCTAAAATTTAATTATCAACCCTAAATCACCCCGTCTTCTCTCATTCCCGACTTCTCTCCACCCTGCTGATGCCGCCGACGACTTCTCTCCACCCTGCTGCTGCCGCAGATGCCTTCTCCTCCCCTTCTCCTCCCTTCTCACCAGCCCTCTGTCGCAGGGGCAGCGTTGCGATGCTGCTGCGACGCCGCAGCAACAGTGTCATAACGCTGCACTAATTCACAGCATTTGGAGGTCCCATCACCGCCATCCACAACGACGCCAAGATCGTTCAGATTTTCGCCGAATCTGCCCTTCGCAAGCTTCACATCTTCACATTTGATTTTCTTGGTGAATGCAAAAAATGCTGTGATTGAAATGCTACTATTTTGCGATTATATCTCTCATTGAGTGGGTGGTGTTTTTGTCTTCTTTTCAGGCCAAAGCAAGAAATGATGTGGTTGAACTCGTGTGTAGAAAGACAGATTTCGATGGAGATCGATGTTGTGACTTGAATCTGTGTGAATTTAATTTCCCCCATGTGAATTTGTGATTTTAGTGGTGTTTGGGTGGTGGTGGGGTAGCGGTTTGACAGTGAGGTGGTGCCGGCTTGCAGACAGCTGAGTTGGTGGTGGCGGTCACAGTTATGCATTTTTGTTGGTGGTGGTTTCCCGTGGTGTTGTGGTGGGGTGAGGGTG